ACCAGCGGTTCGAGGATGCACGGTAAAAATGAGAAGGGCTTGGTTCAGTTTTTCGACTCTTGTTTTGGTTGATCAGATCGCATGTGGTTGAAATTGCGCATTTCACATGCTTTAGCTTCACGTTTGACGGTCGAGCATTCGGAATGAAGCGTAATGGCAATTCCGTTCTATCCTTATTGTTTTCACTTGGATTCTGTCTGGTCGAATTATGGCCACTCAAATCGGGGTTTGTTGACCTTAAACATGATGAACTTTGTGCGAAATATACACTGAAGGTACGCAAAACGGCCTGGGACCTTTGTGATTGCACCCATACATGTGGTAGTTATAAGATATTTCATGTATTTTTTGCATCTTCTGTGAATCGTTTTTTTAGCTTCATCAAACTTTGTCGGAGAAGTTGCTATCCGTCTTTGCCAAATGGAACTACCAATCTGGTGGCGCTGTTTGTTTCGAGCCGGATCAAAACGTCACCGCACTCGAGATTCACCAGACTATTCAACATTCGGGTAAATTGGCCACCCTGGCTCACATGCTGCACCGGTTGTTCCCTCATAGTGGTCCCGATTCTAAACACAAACTGGTTTTGGTATCCAATTTTACTCAAGTGAGTGATGCCATGTCATTCGTATTCCTTGTTGATGTGCTTGTCCATTGGGTGCTAACAGAAAAATTTTCAGGTAACTACCAAAACAGTGGTTTGGTTTAGGGTGCTTTGTGTGAGTCGACGTAAGAATTATTGCTTGAGTCGGTAGTCCTATTTTGTTTCCCCAATTCACATAGAAGTAATGTGTAATCACTGTCCTCTGAGGATTTGTGCTATGTCGTCAATACCTCGTTATTATTGTATCGAATGATCAAAGAGCCCCTAGTTTATTGATAGCGACGTTCATCCGTTCATTCGTTCGTCGTTTTCATTCCATTGTTTCGCATATGCTTGTTTTACTCTTCTAGTCCATGGGGTTTTAAAAACGGATTAATCATTCACTGTTTCGTTCTCCATTCAGCAGTTGTGGACACAATTTTGGGATTCATACATTCTTGTTTGTCGGTAGGATTTGTGGTAGCCGTAAGACCACCCGGCAGATCTCGTTCGTCTCTATCTTCAAAGACCGTACACTATTCCACTGAGATTTTCAGGTTTTGGTTAGCCTTAATTCAGTTTGACGCACTTGTTGAGAAGGTTGCCGGATGAGGCCATAGCCTCTTAGAGACCGGTAAAAATTGTGTAATTGATTGAGAGGAAGATATACGGCTTGCGCTTCAATGACACGACAATCTATCAACTCCAACGTGCTTCTCCCATTAGGGGGCCCCTCACGCCGAACTCATGTAGATTGCTGTTTTGCTTAGGGTATCTCTAAGAATTCCTCTGAATTCTCCCCTGAACTTTTCTATACAAGGATCCCTCTCTAGAATGTACTTCCAAATAACGGTCACTCCATTCGAGCCAACACATTATCCCAATCTCTAACTGTTTTCACCGTTGGCCTTCCTCAAAGACCAACAGGGCTATGAGGTATAATTTCTTACCGGATAGAAAACCACACCTGTTTCTGTGCGAAAGGACAACTCTTAAAATCGCCTGTTTCGACAGGTGTCGTAAGTGAGCATTTTGAACTGTCCCGGTGTTTTTCAGAGAGAATAAATCGAGTCAGCAGCAATTTTGATTGTGCTACGTATTGCTATGCTCGTTCGTTTCTTTGTGAAAGCCGTTGATATCTGTGGTGACAAATGCATTTCATGCGCTCATTTTCACAGGGGACAGGTTACTCAATCCCTTTAGTACAATCGCTGCAACTTTCATACTACAGCACTTAAAGTTACAGACTCGCCAAGAAATCGTGTTGGGGACCCATACAAGCTGTCATCTTTAAATGCCGGAAAATCTGCGGTTTTTCTGAAGAACCACTGTCGCGTCTGCCCTACTTGAATCGCCCAAACAGTCCAAACAGTAAACCTGCGCTGATGACATTGCTGTAGGGTAGATTTATGGTAGAACCTTACGCATCTACACCAATGTTATTTCCCTGTCACCTATGATATCTCTGTCATATGCAAGCACCACGTGTGGGGAAGATTCAGAAAAGTTAAAATGAGACAGTGATGATGACGAGGAAGAGATGTGTAGGTACCCACAGATTCCGGTGAGCAGTGCATTTAGAACTGCTATAAAAATTCGCACTGGAAACCCGCATGTAGTTAATGCTTGAAATGGAGGTGAAGCTGGCTATTTGTTGGAGCGAAACAAGTGGACTTTTTGCTCTTAAATTAAATTGCCAGGTAAAGCCTTTCGCGTCCTTTATCAAATGTGATGAACACTATGAAACTTTCTCAGGAACCATTCGGGAGTTAGGTGGATTCTGATTAGCTGTCGTTCAATGTCTTGCACTCTTGTCTGAATTTCTCTCCTAAGGGCAGACACCCCAGTGAAGAAAACCCGCTTGGTTGGTCCCTAAGGTAGAAGCAGCGTGACTGGTTTTGTGCTGTGTTTGTTTTGTGAATAATATTCATGGTTCAGGTAACTATTCTTGTTGTTGACTGAAATTAACACCACGAGACGCTGTGTGACCATCGGTTTCTGAATTTATCTCTGAGTCTTCTGATTTGCCAGTCCAGTCACGAGCCCTTCTACTCGATCTCGACTTAATCAGTACTCCTAGGGTACACGTAAACTAAAGTTCTTTCGCTCAGTTTGCATTCCGGTTCACTTCACGAAGTACACAAAACTTTGATCATATTCTGGTTCACCGGCTTGGTGTAATGTCTGACTGCATATCCCATATTCTTTCTGTTAGGGAAGACTGTACAACATCTATCCCGATGGAGATAGTAATCCATCTGTCTGCTCGAGAGCCGTACTGAAGGTTTCTTAGTCAACACAAACGTAGTTGTCTTGCTGTATGGCTCCGATGTGCTCTGTTTTTGAATCCGTTGATCTCTTCCCCTGGCTTTTCGATATCTCTCCGTAGACACTGGATTTACTTGAAGTTGTCTGCCGTACATTGACTGGACTCACACCCCTAAGGCTTGACGGAAAAACTCCTAACAAGCGTCGTCTTGCTCTCGTTCAAGAGTTCAACGAGCGTGCATCCTCTGCTCGTGAGTTTTATCATCACTTTTCTCTCTCTTTCGGTGGTGGTTAAACTGCAAAGGTAACCATTTTTTTAGAAGAGCAGTAGGGGTGTTAGCAGACTGATCGCTAATCTACACAGGAAAAAAGTATGGAGGAAAGACTTCACCTGGGATTACTCCGAAGTTTTTCACCAAAGGTTTAGACATCCTCCGGTTTAGTCTGGTGCATCGAGCTCTCCAAGAGAAGTAAGCAGCCAGCCAAGCCAATGACTGGCTGGGACAACCGCAGGTCTCCAGTTTACGGAGAAAAAGAGAACGAAGAATAGCAACCAAAGTAGATGAGTAGTCCAGAAATACACTACGTACAAATTTCACCGAATCACTCAAAGACATGGTAATACCATGTACAAGTGAGGAAACCGCATCCAGCGTGCATCTGTTTATTTTGTAGGCAACTTTGAAGAGAACATGCGGGGCATCAGGTGAAGACTGAATGCACGTAAGAACAACACGTTCTACTAGGTTAAGTCCAATAGAAGTTGAAGCGACAGGAGGCGTTTGGTTAGAACAGCTGAACTCAACGATTTTGGGATGGGAACAATTGTTACTGGTCTCCCTCGGCCTGGTATAAAGCAGGTATTTAAGTAAGTGTTCGTAGCGCATGCTAGTATTGCACTAAGAGAGTAGACTCGATATTTCAAAAGAGAGGATGAGAGGCCGTTGGCAGTGAAGACTGCCAAACAAAAGCACGGTAAAAGTCGATTATTTATATGTGGGTGGGATGGTGCCAGGTTGTCCGAAACAAGACTGTTAGATTTTCTTTCGGATTTCGAAATCGGAGCTTTCGCCTAGCTAGAGCCTGACCCACAAGACAGCGGTGCCAATGTTACTGTTAAATGTTTACTAATCTGGGTGCCTAAAGAATTGCCTGGGTTGCCTTGAAAATGAGGTTTCCTCCAAGAAAATCAGCTGAATATCGGGTAGTCGGAATGAACACTTTTGCCCAGCAGTTCGCGGTCGGTTGCTCAAAGGCTAGAGTCACATCCTAATATGAACAAGGCTGCCGATTAATACATCAGCCTACACTGCGTATCAACTATAGGTTGGCACCATGATGGTTTCCACTCATCACATCGTATAGGAAATACAGTGAAGCTAATTTCACTGATCGCTGCCGAATTCACAATGCTCACAAGTTTAGTGGTAATGTGTAAGGTGAACAGGAATTGGACCTATTTTGAAATGACAACGGGGGAAGAAAGTGAACCTGTTTGGTTAACACAGAGTAGACAATCTGACTGTGCATAGATACCACTTCAAGCATTCTGGCCTGATAGCAATGGACAACAAGAACGCCACTGCTGTCGGTTCCTTGCCATATCCTTCAATGTCTCCAACGAACCACTTGCAGTCTTTCAGACTCCAACCTGAAAGGTTCGAGACACCTACTCTACCTAACAGCTGTGTGCATTTCCAAACCGGTTGAACAATCTGTAAACGTACGAGTTGGGCTTAGTTCAGCGTTTGAGGCTCTCATACGTCATAGAGTAACCACTTTGTGCGATTTTCAGACACCTTACTTCTCTGCGAGTGTTATGCTTCGATATACGCTGTCGAGGGATGCAATACGACCGATAATCCAGTCAAAAAGTCTCTGGTAGTTGACCAACTCATTTGTGCAGTACCGTATTATCAACTGCAACCTATCCAACCTATCCGCCCCATTGTGTTAAGGTAATAACAGTTTTGAAAGACAAATATTTGTTGACATTCTCTGCTCGTAACGGTCACACCTCATGACTCGTGGAACTGCTGCCGTACGCAGTTGGTTTTTAATTAGCAAACGGATTTTCTTTTTGCCGGTGACAAGTGATCAGTGTTAATTAATTATGGAGTTCATAGCTCTAGTGTGACACTTCACAAGCACTGATGATGTCACCTCGGCTGGTGATGAAACGTTTGCAAACAAATTGCCAAGCTCGACGAACAGGCGAAATGGAATCCAGTGAGACTTTTCGTGCTTGGTTGTCCAGAAAGTGCGGAGTGACCTTCAGTTCTTCAGCGTACCATTGGGGATCACTGCAAGTTTTGAAGTGTGGTTTAGCTTAAATTTGCTCTTTGATATTTGATGGTAACCAACAGATCATCAAGATCTGTGATTTGTGGCTTACGTTTCTAACGTATGGGTCCCGGCACGGACACGGTACGAAAACACTGCTTACTGCCGATGCGCACGAACAATGACGAAACCGCTGTCCAGTGCTCTGTCAGCCTTCGCACAAAGTTTTCAAGTAATAAATGTGGATCAGTGGGCCAGTTTACCTCCATATTAAATTTTTTCATCTTAATTGACCTCTACCTCGAACTAAACCTAAACCAAGCAACTCAATTGTCCACCAACTTGTTCAGATGACACTTCAAATCTTATGTTTCTTCGTTTGATGTGATCCTATAAACATGCGTTTACAGCTGAATGAGAGCATGCGAAATTGATGGTCAGTGTCAATTCGACCCATATATACCTTCTTGCGTTTATGAAATGGATACAGATAAACGGATGTTTTCCATAATAAATGTGGGTTTACTTACTTTGTTAACCAGTTAAGCTGAGTTAATCCAATTCATTTATCTGCCGTTGATACTTAAGTTTTTTTTATTACACGAAAGTGAATACAGTAAAAGGGGTAAACCCCATGATCCGAAGAT